CCATTCACAAGGAGACGAGGCAGCAAGCCAGTTACACAATCACAGATCCAGAAGCACAAAATGCTCTTGGGAATTTTCACATCTAACCCAGACTGAACCAGACAGGGAGAGTCTGCAGTTACTATTACTGGTGATTTAAAATAGCTTTGCTTTTGACTGGCTATGTCTCCCTGCCATGTACAGATTGCTTTTATGATTTATCAAAGCTTCTTAAGGATGCTCTTTCTGAGCTGGTTGCTGCTTCTTTACAGTTAGTACAGTAGTGCAAAGCACTAGAGAGGTATTTCTGTGTATGTTTCACATTAAAGATCAGACAGGGTAATCCATAAATAACTCTGCAGCTAAAAAGCTTGTGGCAGTTTTGGATTATACAAGCAGGCAAGAAGCATGTTTGTGGCAAGAGTTTAGAGAATTTAAAGTGAGAAGATTCTATCATTTTGATGTCCAAGCCCACCAAAATAATTTGAAATGTGATAGAAATTTAGATCTGTCTTAAAAAAAAAAAAAAAATGGTGGAGCTTAGGCAGTGTTTCCTGAGCTACCCTATCCTTCTGCACAGTGCTAGGCAGACTTCTTGTATTTCTATATATTTCTCTGCAGTCCCTGCAATAAACACCTCACGATGCCCATGGGATGAACATATTCTAGATACAGCCACAAAAATTACTGCAAATGATTAGTTAATGGATGAGTTTGAATACAAAATGCAGTAGACATGTAATGAGAGGGACAAAAGGCAAGCAATGATGAAAGATAGTATTTCCGCTTAGGATGTTTATTCTTACTTTCAATTTCATGGCTCAAGGAAGAAAATCACAGCCCAAGTTTCATCTGTCTCCTCAAATTTATGCAAATTTTTATGAATATTAAGCTATTAGTTATCTATTTGGACTAAGGCCTGCAGCAGAATTAACTGTAAATATAGTAGATGCTAATGCTTGTCTCTTTGTGCAAGTTTGTGTGCGTGTGTGTGTGTGTGTGTGACAGAGTGTGTGTAAATATATGTCTCACTCCTTCTCTGACTCAAATCAGAGAGGAAACCTCTTTGGAGAACAATAACAAAAACTTGACCAAGCCACTGTGAGCTCTCAGAAACCATTCAAGCTGAAGAACAGGTTGCTAATGCCAATACTCTACAAATCAGTGTGTGACCAATGACACTTGGAAGGATGAAATGCAGAAAACCCACACTTACTCTTTTCTTCAGTAATTAGCCCCTCAATTCCAGCACAATAATTAACTCAAAGTCCAGCAGACCGATTTTGCCTTATTTGTTTACTAATTGCAGTCTTAATTGTGTAAATAGGCATTTGGGTCTGCACTAATTCAGTCTCTTTGCCTCTTGACTTTTACTGTCAACTGTTCATAACACTGGGTTCTATCTTTGGTAATGGGCAGGGAACAAGGATGTGTTTGTATGGGAGACACAGATTAGAGGTAAAGGAGAGAAAAATTGGTATATAAATATTATGGGAAGGGGCACAGGTTGCAGCTACATCAGTTACATCTCAGAGAACAGGTCCAAAGCCCAGCCATTCAAAGGCTAGAGCCATGCAGAACTCACTTTGCTTCCAAGTGTTGAAGAGGCTTTAGACCAGATTCACTCAGGGTTTTAAAGAGTAACATTTTACTAGCTGACTTGCATTTGGCTCTCCAACCATAAAGGAAAAAAAAGCAGGTTGTCTCTAGTCTTGAAGAGACTATAAAAGCTCATGTGACCTATGCTCTACATCCTATTGCTCATACCTGCCATAGAGTTATTTGTGATTGCCCCATGTCTCAAGAACACACAAAGCCCTTACTGTTATACTCCCCTAAGAAGATATTCAAAGGGCCAAACTGAGCCCCTTATACGCACCTGCCCATTGTCTTTGAGAAAACAGAGACCTGTCTTTTGAAGTGTTACTCTCATCTCACTTTGTTGTTCTAGGAATCCCATGTGTCTGTGACTAAAACCTAACCAGGGCGTGGGTTGAACCACAGATCTTTCTGGAAAATACATACTTCGTTTTGAACAGCCACAGCACCAAGTCACAGTATTTCTTCACTGGGAGTCCCCAGCACAACACTGGATTCTGATGAGGATATGGTTTCCCCTATTACCACAATTAGATTCAGAGGAATACTGCAGGGTATTTACCTTTTTTTTTTTAAAATAAAGGGTTAAAAATACCATTTTGGACCACACATTATAAAGCTGGAATTGGTTTGTCTTTCTTGCATAGTTGTAACAGTGAGTCTCTCCTGGCTCTGACCAGACTACCTGCTTATCTGCTTATCCTGGTTGCTTTGAGGTGCATTCTGCCAAATCACACAGAATATGCCAACTCCTGCAACATTTTGGGGATGGACAAATGACTTGCTGGGATTAAGGTGAGTCTATTAATTTGCTGTCTGTGAGAGCGGAATGTAATTATAATCAAAAGGAAAATGCATTTAACCAATGCACTAATTATGTCCTCCCTGCTGCTGCCCCCTTTGCCATTTGATATGATTGAGAAATTAGTCAGGAAAAAAACTGTCTGTACAGACACAGGCACAACAACTCAGCCTTTGTCGACTACTAATCAGTTTGCAACATGAAGGCCACAAAACCCTAAATTTTACACTCCTTCCCTGTCTGTCTCAGGGCTTCCATCAACTTCTGAGTGTATTTGCTGTCTTTTGGAGTCTCTATAGTTCATTTGACTACAAAAAAGCAGAAATGTCCTTTCCTTGTTTGGTTAATTGGTACAGACAGTGCCATAGAGTCACAAAGAAGCAGAAAATCCCTCCAACCCCAACTCACTGATCTTTGTAACTTCCTGATAGCAGTGTGAAGATGGGTGTAAGGAAGTTCATAGCCTCAATATAAGGGGCCAGAGGAACTCAAGGCTACTCATTAATTACATTCCTCAAATGAGTTCTTAAACACCAAACACAAAAAAAAACCCTACAAAAAATCTTTCCAAGCGTTTACTAATTTTCTGCCTTCAGAGTTTTTCTACTTCAAGTTCTCATTCACTTAACTGGTCAAAAAGAGCTCCACGTTCAAGGGCTTTTAGACCATGATCAGTTAATCTATTAATTACCTATTCAATAAATTTTCATTCTTCAGACAGAAGGACAGTTTGAATCGTAGAATCACAGAATAGTTTGAGTTGGAATGGAAGTTAAAGACCACCTAGTTCCAGCCCCCCTGTCGTGGGCAGGGATACCTTGCACTCAAACAGGTTGCTCCAAACCCTATCCAACCCGGCCTTGAACACTTCCAGGGATGGGGCATCAGCCACAGTCCTTCATATAGCTCATTTATTTGCTAGTACTTGAGCATCTTTTCTTCTACTACTCCTTATCACTATCATGTTTACCACAGTCTGCATGGACAAAAGGAGTTGGGGAACTTGCTAACAATCAAGAGCCACAGAAAGTACAGACAAAAGGAAGCAAAGATTTTATTGACATTTCTTTACACATAACACAAGCTACACAAAATGCCACAATAAAGCATATGTAGAAAAATAGTAGAATCATATTGGCACTGATGTCTATTCATTATTATTATTATTATTATTATTATTACTATTATTATTATCATCATCATTTTATTATACAGGTTTCATCATAACCATAATAAATAAGCATTAAAATTTCACAGTGGCATTATAAGCTTTACATTCATGATCTTGTTTATACAAGGGACCATGTCATATTTCTTCAGCTTTTTTGTATGGTCATGATTAAAAGTAGTAGATTTAAAAATGAGAAGCCCTTTCCCTTAACCTATAAGGATCTGTCCACATTAATCCATTGACTTGATCCCTTGGAGAGGTCTGCATTTGTCTAAAAAGACGTTACTTTTAAAACACATTTGACCAACTGGAAAATTGGCCTTAAAAAGAACCCAGGACATTTGCTATCTTCTGGTGGTCTGATTTTGAGATGCCATGGAT